AACAAACAACCCCCTCAAAAAAAACCCAAACAAAACCCCAAGCTTTACCAGTTTCAACTATCAGCTCATTTCACAAGCTTTGATTAATCATTTAACCTTCTACAGTGCTACCTGATTCAATGCCTTGCTGAAAAGTGAAAAGCCAGTTCTCAGATTCACCAGGAAAGGCCTGCTGTGCTCCAAATCATCCTCCAGATTTTTTCCGATTGAGCGATCAGAACTCTGAAGGACTGGTGAAATGCAGAAATCTGTCTCAGACATCACATGCATTTTATACCCAGTTAAACCAACTACCACTCTTGTCTCAAAAAAACAATCTGCAAGCACACACAATTCAGCTCTGCCAATCTATACATTGAAAAGCTGTAGCTGGGCACTTGAAATACATAGTAGTAAAAAATAACAGCATCATCTACTAGGCTGATCAGTCCCTCAAACTGATGTTTTACAGAATCCTCTGAATTTCTGCATATTTTTGCAGCAGTCTTGGAACCTTTGCAGATTTTTCAAGTTTGTGTATACAGGTGAGTAAATGGACTCGGGTACTTGTAGACAAGTGGGAAACTTCTACAATTTAGATCCTTCCACCCTCTCTTCTGCATACGTCTTTAACAGAAAGCAAGGAAAAATGGCATCCCTCAGATTCCTTGCTTCATCGCCCCCCAGAAAATTGCACCTTATTAAAAAGGACAGTCTTAATAAAGTCAACTTGCAAAAGCATGCTATGTTTCCCTAACAAATAAGGCTTCTACTTGACTTCGCCTTTTGACCTTACTACATTATCTTCTGTTTGACATAGCAGATGGGCCTGCAAACCCCAGATCAGATTTTATGTTCTGCACTATCAGTTTCAGAGATGGCACGTCTTTTCATTTTAATTCTTCAGTTGACACAAGTGATGCAAACAAACCCCTACAGCAAGAGAGAAGCTGAGTTCACATCACAAGAGCTGCACAGTAACTGCCAGCATCATGACAGGACTCATACTTGGTCATCTATGCCTTAAGAGGTGCCCACCACAACACGTTTAAGCTCCGTCTGCTTTCCCAAGGGCATTCTCACACTGCATTGCCACCCTCCAAAGCCAACAAAGTCGGTTTGACCCAACAGGAAATCAGCACACAGGAAAAAACACGGCTGCAGCAGCTCCCTCTCACAAACAGGTAGCATAAAAGACTGCATTTTGTGTTCCTAGATGACCCAGCCAAGGGGCATTTAGAGAAACCATCTCCAGCCCACATTTGCATGGCCCCTATGCCTTGGTACTCTGAGGCCATACAGCAGAAAACTGTTCTGTCGGGTCACACGCAGGGACTTCCCATGAAAAACAAACACCAAATTTCTTCAAACTTGGCACATGACAGCATACACTTTCCTCCATACAAACAAAGCACAAAGACAGCCTAGCCTGTTTGTGGCTTCCGTCCAGCAACAGGACTTCTTGTCTGGATCTAAACAGGCCACTAACACACCACAACAGCCCGTTCGCTGCCATACTCCATCACACAGCAGAGCAGAGGATGGCAGCAGGGAGATGCACAGAGCATTCAGCTGTGGTCTCGTCCCTCCCTGTTTCGGAAAGCTGCATCCCAAAGACTGTGTTAAACATAAGCAAGAGGAACAGCAACAACTCTGAGACCCAAGCAGTCAAAACAAAGCGCAGAACTTCTCTGCTGCACAACCAAAGTCCCATTGCCACAAGCAACGTGGCTCCTGCCCCCTTCAACCACAGCCACCATGACTATCAATTCAATACTACAATGATAATGCTTACCCAAGTCAGACTAAGGCAAGTACCACTGAATATTTGTTCTCATCTGCCTGCACCAGCTTAACAGGCATCAGTTCCAGTTCTCTGATATCCACTGGACCGCCACAGCCATACGTTTAAGCTCAGCCACAGCAGGGCACTGCACAGCCACCAGCCCGGCTGCCCGCACCATTACGTTAGTACAAGGTCCCTGGCACAGATCTGTATGTAAGATTACAAATTGAGCCCGGACACCAGTTTATGGTGCAGTTCAAGAATTGGCACGAAGAATTAGCCAAAGGCAGCCAGAATGTGGTCATCCAGTTTGAGGATAGAGGTTCAGCAGTATGGATACACACAGACCCTGTGACGTAGCCTTGGTGCCAGAAAACAAGGCCTAAAACTCAAGTTTACCAGTACAGATGTAATCTGCCTGTTCTAGTCTTCAGCAGAATAGATAAATCAGCTCTTTTCTTTAGACACACTGTCCCATTGGTGTGTGTCTGCAGTTTGGTTGCTCCACCACTGTATCTGAAGAGGATACTCCAGGCTAGAGACATATACAGTGTATTTATCTTAAACCCCTGTATCCTAAACTTGTGTACTATATAGTATCAGCTTCTTACCTTAATGAAGCTTTTTACTTTAACTGCAGGGACACCCAGCCATTGTCCCAAGAAGTCACAAGTTAACAGTCATCTGCAGCTGCAAATTTACTGAATGAGCCAGGAAATAAGAAAAAGGTTGTTTATCAACAGTAACTTCCTCCCTGAAAGCGCTGCCCACATGGGGCACCCTTTCCTTACTTCACACTGCAATTCTGCTCCAATTGATAGCCGAATACACCCAAGAAGCAAGCATAGCTTGAGTCCCACTGAATCCACCTTATCCACATACCTAACCTGAGGTCCTTCTACCAAACAGAAAGGCCACGCTTCTGCTGCTTACCACCTTGTTCCAGCTAACGCTGAACCGCTACAACAGATTAAGCTAATTCAAGTAAATATTACCTTGGTGGGGAGGGGAGAGCACATTCCCATCAACTCCCTTGCACTGGAGGACACCTAATTCCAACTATCTGGTTAGGAAGACTAAACTGGCATGAAGCCAGATCAGCACCATAACAACAATGATGGTTTTTTGCTGGTTTAGCTCCCTGAACTACCTACGAGCACCAGTGGTGAGGTGACAGAGAGAGTGAGGAGGCAGAGAGGGGACAGAATTGACACAAAAACATCAGCTGTGATGGCCTTACACTGCTATTCAGCCACTGCAGGGCAGTTTGCCAGGGCAAGCAGGTCTATAGCCAGCTGCCATCAAAACTTGCAACCCCAAGCCCCCTCCCCTGCAGCTCTGTGCTGACCCGTGACTGTCAGGGCTCACTCCACCCCACAGCAAGCCAGCTTATGAGAGCTCAGCGAGTGAACTAACTCCACAAAAGAGTGCAGAAATGCAACACTATGCTGAAGAGAAAATGGAAGGTTTCTCAAGCTTGAAGAAAGTTTTATGTTACCTTTGAGGAGCAGAAGAATAGGGTACCCGAGAGCTGCCACATTTCTTAATGCGGTTTTATAATATACCCTACAAACTTCAATCACCGGCAGCTGAGAAGCCAATACAAGCACACAAGCTAGGACAAGAATCAAAAGACATTATTTCAAACCAAAAAAGCAGGGAAACTTTTTGAAGATTGGAGTTGGAGTTCGACCAGAATATTTTAACATTCCCGCTGAATACACAAATAGAAATATTTGCCAAAACTGAGGTTTTGGCAAGCATTTACTCATCTTTTCCTAGTTTTGGCTGCTTCTGCTATGAATCTAGGTATGCAACCCAGGATAACATGTAACCTTCAGTTTTGATAAGTTTTCAGTGCAGCTTTTCTAAATACATGTTTTAGCCTTTAAGTGGATTTTGGAAGAGATCAGTGGATGAACAGCAGTGCACATAGGCTGAAAAAGATTTGGTCCCACTTATACCCTACACTGGCGATTCTTCCACTCTTTTTTCAAAGCAAATTATTAAAAAAAAGATACACAAAAACATACAGAGAGGTACCAAAGTGTTCACCTGTGGGACAGTATCTTATATTCTTAAAATAGTTAACTGCATCATATCTCCTGAAAGAGCAGCTATTTTGCTGCCTTTCAAACTGTAAATACAAGGCCCAAATAAATTACTATTTATTAAAATAGTGCTTGCAAGTCTCAGCCACAGATGCCTATTTACATTTGCTTTCTAGCCAGACTTTTCAAGTCTTGTTTTAACAGATACCTCTTTCAGAATGGTTATGATAGAACCCAAACTCCTCCCCCTCTCCATTAGACAGATTCGAGTCCGCACTGCAAATTCAGATATCTCAGAAGCTTGTGTTGTACTTCCACAATTCAACACTTCTGTCCAGCTCCTCCAGGTTGCACTTGTTTCCTCTCTCTCACGCTTGTCCCACTACTCAACATCCTTTTTCTTTTATCCACCCTCTAGCGTGCCTGCCCCACAGAGAAACTACAGTAAGTCCATACTGAAAACAGTACAGTAGCAACGACTGTCAGACTGGGAAATTAGAAGATAAAAATTCTCCTTTTAGGTTTTGCAACTTGCTATCTGACGTGAGGCAATTCAGTAGCTCCTACTGCAACAAGTTCTGCTGCATGAAAGACACGGATGCACTGAGAATACTGAAAAAAACCACTGTGCATGTCACTTGTTTGCTAATATTATTTACATCCGCAGCAATCGCAGCATTTTGCAAATATGAAAAGGTAATCCCTCCCCCACAAAGCTTCCCATATAAATTTGCGCTTAGAAACATTCAGCAACTGGAGAACAGATCAGAATTAAAAAAAAAAAACAAAAAACAAACAAACAAAAAACAAAACAAAACAAAAAAACAAAACAAAAAAAACCAAAACCAAAAACCTGCCTATGCAAGCGCGCAGCCAAGGAACAAAGTTGCAGGCAGGGACAGGCCGGCAGCTCGCACAGACCGCGCAGCCCCTCACCCCTTCGCACCTCACCGGGCTGCCCCTGCAGCCCCGCAGGCAGCCGGAGGCCGAGGCTGCACCGACCCCGACCCCCCCCACCGCCGCCGCCATCGAGGCTGCCCGCCGCGCACGGGCTCTGAGCGGGGCCAGGCGCGAGGGGAACGGCCGTTCCCCGCAGGAGGGAGCCCGCATGACCCGGAGGCCTCTGACCGGCCCCAGCGGCCTACCGCCCGCCCGCCCGCCCGCGGCCCGCAGGCCCCGCGTACCGTCCGGGCGGCCTCTGCCCAGGTCCTGCCCTTCTTCCTGCGGCCCTTCTCCCTCATGTCGGACGCGACCGGGCGCAGCTGACTCCGAAGTACCCTTGGGAGGGGAAGAGGGTCCGTCCGCCCGGGAGGGGAGGCGGAAGGAACGGGGGAGAGCCGGAGCGGGCGGCGGCGGCGGCCCTAGGTGCGGACAGCCCCGACCGCGGCGGGCCCTGCGCCCGCCGCCGCTGCTGCTGCCATATTGGGATCCTACTGTAAAGGGCCCCGGTCATGTGACCCTGCCCCGCGTGACTCCACCTACTGTACGGGCGGCGTAAGGGGAGGGCGGAGCTCTGCGCCCAGCGGCTCCGCCTTCCCGGCGCCTGCGCATGCGCGCTCCCCGCCTCCGCGCCGGCTGCCAAAGGGCGCGGCCGCC